GGACTAAGGAACGTTGCTGAGGCTCTGCAGCCGCCCCATTAATAATGCGGTAATCTGGAACTCTTTTGCACTTTTGGTAGAGACAGTCTTGGGGATTAAGGGACGTTGCAGAGGCTCTGCGTATTAGCCGGCCTGCGTCTCTGCTCGCGTGCGCCCACCCCATTAATAAGGCGGTAATCTGCACGAGGAACTCTTTTGCACTCAATAAGCCGCCAATTGCCTCATCCCGGGGAGAAACTGCACGCGCCGCGCCGCGCCGCGAGAGCGACCGCGTGAGCTCGCGACGGCTAATGGCCCGCCGGCTAATGTGCCTCAATGTGAGGGGCGGGCCGCGTGGGGCGGAGCAGGGCGGAGTCAGAGAGATTTGCTTAATGCCGCCGCCATCCCTTTCGTGCCGACTGTCACTCAAAACATGCGGAGCATGTGTGATGCGCGTGGGGGTGATATGCGTGATGTGTCGTCTATGTCTAGCCGAAATGTACGCATGGATGTAACTGTGAATACGCAGCAGTGTTGCGGGTTTGCATACTCTTCACACCCCTAACTAAGGGGCCATGTAGCCCCTGCGGCCATATTGAGTATGCCAACAACACTGCTGCGTATTCACAGTTACACCCGGCACACTATGCAATCGTATTATAACTTAGTCATTTTTGTCAGAGGTGCAGTGAGCTATTATCTTTACCCTCCAAGCAAGCTGATGTTTTATAATAGTTTGTCCAAATGGTTTTTTTCAGATTCTGAGAAATATACTACACTACTGGGAAAATGTTCTCTACGGGTCGCCTTCGAGACCGCCCCAAAAAGAACCTCTGAGTTTTCATGATGGACCGTGAGAATTATCAAAAGAGCGTATCAGCGAGAGCGATAGCTTGCACTACGTAAAACATAACAACATTTTTAATTTTAATATTTTTAATTTATTTTTTTCAACTTTTATTTTTACTTTTTTAAATGTCGGGTGACACTGGGTCGAGCCCCGGGCCGGCAGGTTCCGCCAGGGCTGCGCCCCGCGACTGTCGGGCCGGGCGGGAGTTACGAGGTGGAGTGGTCAGACCACACTGCCAAAAATACGGGGCGGGGTGGAGGTGGAGACGGTGGCAGTCTACAAGTATAATTAGCTCGCCCTCTGGTGGTAGGACAACGGCCGTGTCGCGGAGGTTGTCATCCATTGAGGACGCACTTTTCGGACGAAAACTCGCCCTGTCTTGGAGCGGTCGGACGAACGGAACGGTAATCATTGCAAAACTAATTATGTATGACGGGACGAGAAACGAGGCGATGGCGAGCGAACATGAGACGGGTGGTTCTCGATCATGTCGGCGACTAATGGCGATACATCGCGATATCCAATCGAACCGGAAGGGGCATTGGCATAGGCACGCACGCAGGCGCACGCCTTTGAGAGCCGCTACAAGAGGAGGGGGAGGGGACGCGGCATAGTTTTTTGTCGTTTTATTTTTTTAAATTGAATTAACCGGTACGTCTACTTTGTGGACACCGAACGCGGCGCCGACATGTGAAGATATAAACGATCATAGCTCGCCTCGGTGACTGGCTTATGGGAGATTATAAATCGAGAAGGGGAGGGGAGGGGGAGGGGAGGAGGAAGGGAGGGGAGGGGGAGGGGGAGGCATGCACTTTCTCCGCGTACGCTGTCTGGCCGTGGGGCGACGCAAAGCCATGGCTTGTCCAGCCACGACCTTCACGACCACGTGTGTGTGTGTGTTTCTCACACACAAGCATACGCAATGGGATGCGTAATATGGTGGGAGCTCTTGCAGGGGGCGGGGCAGATTAGCAATGCACCCAGAGGCAATAAAACAAAAAGAAACACCTTCAAGAACTTTTGTGGTTTGTTTGTAGTTTTCGCGATTGAATCTCCCGATGGACGCACTCTGTCCGAGCTTCACAAGACGCGTGCTTCTGCACCGCTACCAGTAGCACTGATGGTGATCATTCGCATTCGCTCCCCGCCCAGCCCTGGCACCACCCCCGCCTGTTCGCTTTCCAAGTCGTGACGCGGGCGGCCGTGCGACTGGACACTCATGCGCCGCCCCAGCCGCACCGAGACGGAAAATTGCACCGTACACGGTCAAAAGCCACGGACGAGACGCGCGGCGCGCAGATCAGCTGGCGGCAGCCCCGCGGAGCCGCGGCGCGAGCCACCGTCGCCGTCGCTGGGTCCAGCCGCCCACGCCGCGGTGGGAGGGGCGGAACCGCGGGGAAGGGGAAGAGGGGGGGGGGCGCTGGGCGGTCTACTCGGCCTCAACGCAAACAGGGCGTGAAGATGGCGTCGGCGTCGTCAGTGTCGGCAGCTGAGGGGAGAGGGTGAGGAAAGAGCTCGGCTGAGCTCAGGACTGAGGGGCTCATTGTCCGCCAATTTCATGATGGGTTGATTGATTGACGGCCCGACCGCCACCGACTGGCCGCTAGAGGGCCGGGCCTAGGGCCGGGCCCAGGGCCGGGCCGCCACCCCCGCGGGGGCTCCGCGTCCAGGACGTGCTCGAGGCGCGCAGCAGTACATCCAGCTCAGCAGGCGCGGGCTTTTATTTTACGGCGCGTCTCCTCGATGGCGGCCGCGCCGTGGCCTGGCGGTTGCATGAGCTGCACATCGCCTTCCTGGTCGAGTCGAATGCAAATAGAGCCGGGCAGGCTGCTGCCTTTGGAAACGAGCGACCCCGGCTTGTTTGGCTGCCGGGGGGTGGGGGGGGGGGGGGGGGGGTATCCGAGCGCATCTCTGCGCGCCCGGGTCGCAGCAGCTCGGGTCGCGGTGAAGCAACCCAACCCAACCCCTCTCTGAGTCTAACCCTCTGTGGTGTCCTGTTGGCAGAAGTGATCGACATGGGCGTGACGGGCAGGCGCTCCTCCGGCCCCGGGCCCGCGGGCGAGCCGCACGCCCACCTCACGCTCGCCATCACGCCCGCGCCCACCGCGCACCACTACCAGCACGTGCAGGGCGGCTTCATCCAGTCCGTGAGTACCCCGCCGCGCGCTACAGCCTACCTCCGGCCCGGGCGCGCTGACGCGAACCTCTCTGTCCAGGAGCCCGCGCACCACCGGCCCCAGGACGAGGAGGCGCTGCAGGCCGGACTCACGAGGAGGAAGCGCGCCGACCAGCCGGCGGACCAGGAGGCCGCAGCCTCGTCCCATGAGGAGGACGTCGACGAGGATGTCGCCGAGGACGACGCCGAGGCCGCGGCCAGCGGTGGCGCCGGCGACGACGGCGACATGTTCCTGGAGCCGGACGCGGCGGGCGGCCACGCGGGCGCCGTCCCTACCGGCGAGCCCGCCGCCACCACCGACGCTACCGGGGCCCCTCAGAACCTCTTCCCGGCCTTCCAGCCGCTGTTCCCCCTGGGACACTCACGGCCACCCATCTTCCAGGTGAGTGAGGTGAGCCATCGCCGAGTCTCCGACGTGTCTCTGTCACTTCGGGGCTGGAGCAGGCCGAGGAGGCCATTGCCGTGACGGCTCTCTCTCTCTGCGCAGGAACCCGCCTTCAGCCAGCGTCAGGCCCTTCTCCGGCCGCAGCAGTACAACCCGTACAACCCGTACGTGGAGGCGCGCGAGCCCCGCCTGGAGTTGGCCGCCCAGCACGCCGCGCAGCACGGCTTCAGGGAGCGCGCCTACCCGCAGCCCGCCGCCCCCATCGCCGCCCCCGCCGAGCTGCACTCCAACGCGCTGCTCGGCTCAGGCAACTTCGGCGTCATCCACGGAGGCACCTTCTACGGCGAGGAGAAGGAGTCCCAGGTGAGTGAGGTAAGTGAGAGCCAACGCGGGTCAGGCCACCTCGGCCCTGGTAGCAGAGGTTGAAAGGCCGTCTCTCACTGCGCTGCGCTCTGCTCTACCTTTCCAGGACTACGACTCCCCGTCAGCGGCGCTGCACTCGTTCTACGGGGGCAACGGGCACGGCCGCCCGGCCTTCTACCGAGGCAACCCCGAGCCGCAGCGCTATCGCACCTCGGAGGACTTCTTCGCGAACTTCCGCGACTTTGCCGACATCTCGACGCCGACCAAGTCTAGCTTCAGCGAGTACTACGTGGTGTACGTGAACCGCAACGCCTCGCGCGCCGACCCCGGCACCATGGTGGGGCCCGACGGCCAGGCCGTGGTCGCGGCCGCGCCGCAGCACCTCCCCGTCAGCAGTGGCAGCGGCAGCACCGGCAACAGGCCCAACAACATCTTTGAGCGGCTCGCGCAGATCGACCGTGAACACGCCGCCGTGGCAACGCACTCGACCGCCGCCGCCGACGAGGCCGTCGTCCCGAAGAAGAAGCTGTCTCTCGGCAAGCGGAAACTGGCGCTGCTCGACAAGAAGAAGGGCGGTAAGAAGGCCCTCGCGACCAGAGAGGTGGAGCCCGAGGCGCAGCCCGAGACGCAGCACGAGCCGCTGCTCGCACTCAGCTGAGCGCCGCGGCCGCGGGACCATGAGGCCCCAGGACCGGCACCGTCAGACCACGGCCGCCTCCTGCACGCCAACACAAGGCCGGATAAGGACAGGGTGATCTCTCCGTTCCGACGGTGGACTCCAGACCGGATAGGCTATCCACCGAAGCGGCCCGATTTGGCGATCAGAAAGGCAAGCGGCCTCTGAGGAGGACCTTGGCCCGAAATTTCACGCTCTTAGGACAAAGTGAACCATAGCATGACTCTGAAAACCTTCGAGGAAAAATACTCGCATGCTGCAGGACGATCCTTCGTCTCACTCTTGTTAAGTGGGGGAAGTCCCATAAGCTACTAGATTCGTTGGTGGGTTGCGGCGGTGCACGGGTAAGTGGCCAAAACAACCTTAAAAAGCTCAACGTTTAAATTTGTGTTTGATAGTTTGAGAAATGTTTCTGGCGGTCTGTTAAGACAAGAATAGAAAACAAATGTTATACATTCCCCCAATAAATGTCTATTAAAACTAAGGAACGTCTAAATAAACAAGTAGCACGGAATTACAACAACAACAAAAAAGAATTCTTCATTCAGAAATTTTTGATAAATTTGAGAAATCAAAACATTTTGTTGTTGTTTTGGGGGGAATAAAGCACTTGGGTATCTATTGGGAGGGGAGGGGAGGGGGGTTTCTATAATCAGTATTTTTCTACATGCAAGAATTTCTTTCTAGTGTTAAAGAGGCATAAAGCTATTTTCATCTGAGCAACTGTGTTATTGCTTCAGATTTTTTTTTAAATACTTATAAGGCTGACTGCTAAAGAAAAACTGACAACTCTGAAGTAAATAGAAGTATTACTAGTTCAAATTATGGTTGTTGCAGCAGAATCAAACTCATAATGTAAGGCAAGAATTGTGTACATAAATATGTGAAGATATAAATCATGACACACCTTTTTCACATTCATAATATTATTTTGATTTTATAATACTCCTTGTCTTTTCTCATGACTTCATCCCATATCTTTTGTAAATAGCATTATATTTCATTAAAGCACATTTGAATAGCTGTAACTGTAGCAATACGATCTTTATATCCTTATATTTTAATAATATAATGATTCCTACGTAAAGGGGGACTGCAACCTAGATATCAAATGTGTGTAATCAACAAACCAAAATTTAACTTGTCATTCAACTTGTTAAAATTAAGTCAAAACAAATGTTAGAAATTTGTTTAATAACTGTCTCCGTGTCTCTGATTTAGTAATATGTATGTATATTTGGATCGCTGTCAGTTCATTGTCATTGTTGTACTCTGAACTGCTTTTTCTTTCATTGTGTGAACGGCTTAAAAGACATGAAATGACTCGATGTATTATTTTAAATAATCTAGCCCCTTTGATGTGGTATTGTTATTTTGTTTGTTGTTGACTTTTGTACATAGAGAAGAGAAGAAAACAAATTGTCCGTGTATTTTTTTAAACCTCTTGCAGACCACCACTACTCTAACAGCTACTTTTTACCATACATGAATACACCGTTTTAAGCGTAACGAAAGAAAAACAGAAACACATCAGCGCAGTGGTTTGAAACAGCCCGCGCGCATCCGTTTTTGTTTTTGTAAGTACCTGTTGCCAATAACCCATCCATGGCGCCTACTGGTAGGCAACCCAACTGGCACGCACTGTTCTACCGACCCCAAACCCGCCTGGAGGACGACACGTTCCCCAATAAGGTGGCGCGATTAGACAGCACGACAGCACTAGCGCGTTAAGATTCCGGTTCAACTTTAACTTCAAAAAGGATTATTACGACTGCTTTGCCCGATAACCCCACGACCTATGCCGGCGTGCCCCGACGGCTTGCCGACCCGCCTGCACGGTGCGGCGCTCAGCGTGGGCCGCCCGCCCCACGCAGCTGCTCGGCGGGCTGGCCTACCCAGCGCATGGCAGGCGCTATCGCGTGCGTTACAGACAGCCTGGCGTGAGAACTATACAAGTGCTTGTTCTGGCGGCATGGCATGGCGCACGTCTTGGTTTGCAGCCACAACCGACACGGCAACCGGAACAGGCAGCTTCGCCCGAACCGACTCTAAGACAAAGGCCGCTCGGCGCCGTAAATACTCACGTCGCTGTCCACTTGCGAACGCTGTCCGAAAAAAAAAAAATTAAAAAAATGGGGGAATACGCCCCTTGCACGACTTCGGAGAACGCGGTAACAGCCCCTTACAACCACATTGTTCAGAACATACTCCCGGGATACAAACTGAGCAGAACATTTATTTAAAGAAAATACATTTTAAATGAGGTAATACAAAAAAAACACATGGCATAGTTAGGAGCAGACTTTCAACAAAGCGTCTCGGAAAAGCGGCCTGTCATTCCCCGAGAGCTCTCGGTGGCAACCTGATTCACACCAAGTACAATCTTTTGGAACAGAGCAGTAGTATGGAAAGGGTGGAGGCATGAGCTTGATCGAGGGGTGCACCTTGAGAAGGTCGTCGGCTATGATATTGTCGTGCAACCAGGAGTGGAGGCAGCGGTGCTGCACGTCGAACCCCATGGCATACACACCCAGCTCGAGGGTCCGCAGGGCCGGGGTCGTGTCGGGGCCGAGGGCCAGCAGCAGCTGGGGCGGCGCCTGAGACTGCAGGTGCAAGTGCTCCAGTGCGGGCAGCGCGGGGAGTGCTCTCAGGAGCGACTGCTCCTGAGGGAAGTTGTCACCCATGTCCCTCCTCCTCCAACTGTTGCGGATGGCCAGCGACTCCACGCAGGAGCGTCCTGACCAGGCTAGGTCGCGCGCGGACCACGCCTACGCCGGCGTCATCCCCCCGGCTCCGGCTAGGTGGCCGGGGGACTTGGACTGAAAACCCTCAAATTTGTTAAGAGATCTCAAAATAATACTATTAAAACCTGAAAATAGCTTCATTCTTTGAATTTATTTGGGAATATGCAGTTTTCAATAGTATGTTTTAGTGTCAAGTCTGTACGTATTCCGTATTCGGAGATGAATCACCGTTACGTGACACGGCACTGAGATTAATAATCCTTGTTGTCTGCTATACCGGGTGATTCAGAGCACGCGCCGCCATGTTGCGGGTTTGACTATCCTCGACTCGGCGGGCGCACGGGTGAGAGGTGAGGAGGGGACCCCTCCTCACCTCTCACCCGTGCGCCCGCCGAGTCGAGGATAGGCAAACCCGCAACACGGCGGCGCGTGCTCTGAATCACCCGGGACAAGAAGCACCGCCGCCGCCACACCGCCCAGTGTTAAACGGAGAGGAGCTAGGAAAAAGGGGGGGGGGGGTCCTTCTCGTAGAACAATAGGGTATTACCACAGAAATTATTTTGGTCCTAATGTGTACTGGACATCGGACGCCTACGGTTGGACGAAACGTCCGGAAACGTCCCGGCACACTCCGGCCTGGCCCGGCTGGTAATGGCACTCGGCAGCTCACACTCGAGCGCTGCTGCGTGGCTGTGCCAGTACAGTCGCCTCACTATAAGGAGTAACCTGGCGGAGCGATAGCTGTACGCAAAAATTCTTATTAAAGTGTCTAAACGTAACTGTCTTGTAACAGGAATCATCCAGTGCTAAACGATTAAGTTTGGTCCATTATTAAGTATTTAGTTTTCAGCCGTGCGATAGTTAGACTAGAAGTTAGCTCATCACGATGGTAGGGACTATTTTCTGAACGCGCAATGTTCAAGTTACTTCTTATAGTGAGGCGACTGTAGCGAGCGCGCCCGCCGCTCAGCAAGAGCCCGGTTCGAATCCCCCTCCAAGAATCTTTTTTCCGAGGCAAAGGCGAGTTGAACTCGAGGCTGTTGCGGCTGGGTGCCTGCTCCGGCACGCTCGCCGCACGGGCCGCGTGGTCCGGTGGCTACGGGACTCGACTGCCAGTCGGCAGGTCGTGGGTTCGAGTCCGCCCGGGGGCATAGCGTTTTGAGGCTGTCGGCGGTCGGGCGCGACACATTTTCTGCTTTGTGAGCAAAATGCAGGGTGGCCACAGGCAAAAAACAAAATTGATCGAATGCGGACAGTTTAAACGAAAAGAAACAAAAAAATGGGTTGGTAGCGCAGAAATTGAAGAAGAACAATCGCAAAACAGAATAAAAGTCGGAGGCGGTGTCCACTTGGCCTCACTCGTCGTTTGTAGCTTGCTCACGTCGTGTTGCTCTGCTTCTGTGTGCTTTGAATCGTGTCTTGTTTTTGAATCGTGTGTTTGTGGCCAGCGCTTCTCATCACCTCTCTAACGTCTCGTCTTCTCGTCTCCCTCGTCTCCTCGTCTCTTCAGCGTCTCTTCAGCGTCTCTTCAGCGTCTCTTTAGCGTCTCTTCAGCGTCTCTTCAGCGTCTCTTCAGCGTCTCTAAGGCGTCTCTTCAGCGTCTCTAAGGCGTCTCTTCAGCGTTCTAAGGCGTCTCTTCAGCGTCTCGTCAACGCCTCCATTGCCACACCCGCCACCGCTTCGCAACTCTCTCAATCGTGAGTACCTATTAGGTTTCCAAGACACATCGCTGTGTAACCCCCATTTATTCTCTCCATAACCACCGGTTCAAATTCACTCTGAATGAAAGGGACGATTTTTGTATACCTAGGTTGAATGTGTCCTTGTGCACATCTTCATCAGAAACAGTTTTTTCAGTTCGGAGGTACGATACATGTTGTATCAAGTCTAGGTACACATGCTTTATTTCGTATGTCGCGTAGCGGTGAACTTGTTGTTTGTGCGTAGCTACAAATTTGTATCTGATTTATATATGCACAAGCGCACATCTAGCCTAGTGTTTGCGAGTAAGAATAAATCTGGAGCCAGGGCCCGGCCAAGGGCACACCACCCCTGGCCCTGCACCGCGACGCTTGGCGTCACCGGAGCGGGCGGCGGGGGCGGGGCCTCGGGGATGCTGGCGGCGAGAGGATGCCAGCCTCGTCTGGGGTCCCCGGGGTCCCCGGGACGCGGTGCTGCCGAGGCGACGACGGCGCGGGGCCGAGGGGGAAATCACTCTGGGTAAAAGTGTACGAGTTAGTACGCTATTTCACGTTAGTACGCCCCATTCTTAGAACAATTTTTCAAAAATTTTGCGAAATTATGTTATTACACGGCACAATTACGCTTGATTTCTACCATTAGTACGCGTTATCACGCTGTTAGTACGATTTAGTACGTCTTTAGTACAGGCCTGGGTGTGCGAGTTAGTACGTAAATGATTTCCCCCTCGCGCGGGACGTCCGGGCGATGCAGCCAGCGCAGGGCCAGGCCAAGGGCACAC